ATTAATTCAGAAAAACAGAGCAAAAACTTTTTTTTCTCAAGAAAAACTAACTCATTAATTCAGAAAAACAGAGCAATTTTTTTTCTCATGAAAAATTAACTCATTAATTCAGAAAAACAGAGCAAAAACTTTTTTTCTCATGAAAAATTAACTCATTAATTCAGAAAAACAGAGCAAAAAAGTTTTTCTCATGAAAAATTAACTCGTTAATTCAGAAAAACAGAGCAAAAAAGTTTTTCTCATGAAAAATTAACTCGTTAATTCAGAAAAATAGAGCAAAAAAAATTTTTCTCATGAAAAATTAACTCATTAATTCAGAAAAACAGAGCAAATTTTTTTTTTCTCATGAAAAATTAATTTTTGTTAATTTTTTTTTCTCATGAAAAATTAATTTGTTAATTCAGAAAAACAGAGTAGATTTTTTTTCTTCAAGTGAATGCAATACGGCTCTGTAAATATGCACCCTTTAGGTACAAGTGTAGGTTTTGGAAAGGCACCGCACCAGTGACAGCTTTTGAGTGTATGCGGTTCATCGGATAAAGAATGAAAATCAACTACACAAATGTGCAATGATTCAGAACTCTGCTCTAACTATGAAAGGCATTGATTACATGAATCTCGAGTCTTGGGATTTTATTTCAAACCCTTGAAAGGCTGATTCTGAAGGGGAGTGGAGCAACCTCTCCCATGACACGGACCATCGACTGGATACAAAAGATCAAAATCTTATGAACCCCACCCCATTTGTCACATTACGGGCTTTCGCACTAGGCAGTTTTAGGAAGTCAGTTATATGAACTAGCATCAAGGATGGTCCCCCGAGAACTAGATTACCCCCTAGAGCCATTTTCCTTTGCATTCGCACCGCCAGTAACTGTGACGTAAGCCGGTTAACAGTGAACGCATTAAACACCTCTAGTCCTAAAACTGTATTCTGGACAAATGTGGGCAAAATAGTTTTGATTTATTTTTTAAAATACTTCCCTTGATCTGAGCGGTACAAGACTTGGCTACTTTTCCTAAGTTTGCCTCCTGAACACACACAATTTTTTTTTTTTTTTGACTCAATTCTACAATGTTAAGTGGGTGAAGAAAAAACTCCTTAATCTTGTATTTGGGTCAAAAATGGGCACCCATAGAAATGAATGGGTAAAACTGTAATTTAGAGCATTCTTAAATAAGCCAAAATAAGACACCAGGTGACTGCAAAGTCACTTCATCTTTAGGGTTTTAGCTCTAAGAACTTATTGGAATGATATTTTAATGTAGTTAAAAAAAATAAATAAAACTACATAGTAATTAATTTACATATAAATAATTTACATGGTACTTTTTGAAGTAAATAAATTCAAAAATACCCCCCCCCCCCCCCAAAAAAAAAAAAAACATAAATGGATAGACAAAACTTTATCAAAGACAGTGATATAAAATTTATAATAAATAAAAAGTAGGATCACACATGAGTCCTCTGTGCCCACATTTGTCCACAATTACAGGATTAAGGGCTATAAAGTGAATACGGTTTGAGGGCTACGATGGAAGATGCTGTTTGAGATGCTTCATTTGAGCTTATAAAACGTAAACTTTTTTTTTTTTTTTAAATAGCGATCGTTTCACTTGATAAGACCCTTATTCATCGTCTGGAATCGTTTAAAGCCCTTTGAACAGTTTGCAGTTTGCACTGAAACTCTCTTTTGCACCTTGAACCGTTTGGTCCCCATTGAAGTCCATTATATGGAGAAAAATCCTGGAATGTTTTCATCTAAAACCTTAATTTCTTTTCGACTGAAGAAAGACATGGACGTCTTGGATGACATGGGGGTGAGTAAACTCTCAGCTAAAGTTTTTTTAAAAGTGAAATACTCCTTTAAGACACGTCTCATAATCAAAGCCCAATGGAGCCGTATCAGACACACAGCAAGAAGAGGCGAACGAGAACTCGATCACACAGAGAGAGACATGTTTCAGATAACATGCAAATTCCTCTTGTTTCTCCTTGGACTTGAACAGACTCATACACACGTTAAAAAATGCCTGTCTCTGCAAGTATTCTCATAAACACAGTCGGGTATGTCTTAAGTGAAAGTAAGAGTTGAGAAAAAAATGGGATGTCATTATATTTGATGTGTTCATTGAATGTTAAAGTGACAGCCGCCTATAAATACCTGCTGTCGTCTATACGTCATGAATGTTAATCATCTACAAACCACATCTTTAACAAAGATAAATCTATGTTTAATTTATACAACAAACACTATAGTGTTATTGTACATTAATTATTACATTTCTGTACCTGAATACTGTGTTAAACCATACTTTATTTGTAACTTTATACTGCATTTATCAGTGTTGTAGTACTCGAGACTCGGACTCGTCTCGGACTCGGTCTCGAGACCATATTTTAATGGTCTTGGTCTTGTCATGGACTCGTGTCCATTTGGACTCGGAATTGACTCGTACTCGAACATTTTTTTTTTAGGACTCAGAATTATTCCCGAGTCCACTCGAGTTCAATTCAAAATATTTTTCATGATTATTAATGTATGTTAATAAAATATTTCTTTAAATTGATTGACACGCCCAGTGATTGGTGATTTTCTAGTGCGCAACTGCGCATGACAAATTGTAATAAAATTACTTTTAACACCACCTACTATGTGGCCTTTTTACCCTAAACTGATCATATTTTTTTAAACTCTAAGTAAATTCAGCAAAATAAAAAAAGGATTTCTCTAAGTAAATAAAAGTAAATTAGGTAATCAACCCTCACTGGTCTCGGTCTCGACTCGGACTCGACCGTCTCTGGTCTCGGACTCGACTCTCTATGGACTCGGTGTCGACTCGGACTCGAGTGCGGTGGTCTCGACTACAACACTGGCATTTATCATCTATGCTAACTTGTATTTGTTCTTATTTTATTAATGACCATTCACTTGTCTTTAATAATGTTTAATTATTAAAAGCTAGATTTTGCTGCTTTAAATTGTTAAATGAAAAGCATTGTTACTTTTTTTATATATTTAAGAAATGTCTTTTTTAAGATATTTAAGAAATGTCTCAGTGTTTTGTTCATAAAATGATCGGCGCTGACTGTTCTTCAAAATGTTGGACAGATGAACATCATGCAGGTTTAGAATAGCATGAGAGCGAGTAAATTATTTATATATTTTGGGTGTGAAATAAAACCATTATACTGAAATAGAAGTACAAAAACACACAGCCAGAAGCAAAAACTCACTTCTGTCAAGTGTACTACATCTCCTAAGCCAAACAATCAACTTAGAAATCAAGACATTGTATCATATTTGGCTTGATGTTTTAAGTTGACACACAAGATCTGGGAGTGTCAGGTTCATTTTCAGACAATGACGGCCACTGGAGAATGTTCTGACTAAACCCTGTTAGTCATGCTGATCCCATGGGGTGGTTCTAATACAACTCACACACTCTTTCTGACCAACGATACTAGACACTTCTGTTTTTCTAAGGGATGTTTGTTTATGTGCAGCCGGTGTAGAGGGGAATCTGAAGAGTCTCACATAACATTGGTCTCTGGAATCTCTCAAGTCGTCGGCATTACAAGCTTAACATTCCTTGTGAATCACACAAGATATCCAACATCCACCGACACTGCATCCGACCTTTACAACATTAACCGCAGTGCACACAAGGACAGGCATGTTAATGAACAAACATTGTCAGATTATGAAGTGCCAAAAAGGAACCCAAAAAGCTCCAAACAAGTTGTAGCAGGACAGGATGAGACAGATATGCAGTTCAGCTGGTTCTGAATGACAGCTTTTGGGCTGGTGGTAAATAAGGCCTGAATGCTGAAATTGAACTTAATCCCAACACACATGACATGAAGATTGAACAACAACAACAAAAAAAACACTGTCAAAAGATGTGGCATGTTTAACCCTGTAAAGCCTGACATATGAAACACTAGTCAGAAACATCTATTTACTGAACTGAAGTTTGTTGAACCTATAAAAGGGATACTTCACCTCTTGAAAGATGAATGTGTATTTGGTTTGTGGTTTGTCCATATTTGACCCAATTTGGGTTAAAACAACTGAGCATTTTTTTAAAGTGTGAAAAAATGGCATTCATGTCAAGTCAATGGGTGCCGTCAACTGTCTGGTTCCCAACATTCTTTAAATTCTATATTTTGTGTTCAACAGAAGAAAGAAACTGTTATTGTATTGTATATTCATATAATGCAATGTAATACAATTCCACTTAAGAGATGAACAAATAAACGTTCCTCAAAAGCCTTGTTGTATCATATTTGACACATACGTTTCAACATCAAGTGTCTAAAAAATGATGTATGGATTATAAAGTGGTCATCTTGAAATATTACAAACAATATAAATGGTGGATTTTTATTATTATTATTTTTTTTTTAGAATAATGCTAAATGCTTTTTACTTGCTAGAAGATTGTGGACAGGTTTAACAGATTTTGATAATTTAGAAGCCTTCATATATCAAATATGATACAGTGCTTTACAGGGTTAAACTGTTTAGTCCTCATGTAAGCCGACAAGAAGCAACTGGCTTTCATGTTGACAGACCTCTTTAAGCATTCATATTCTTAAAAACACAATGTCTACAAAACTACGTGATTAGTAAACGAACTTTTGGTGATTTCAAAGACTTCATCCAGGTTGAATAATGAATAAAACATTGTTGAGCGGACAGCTCAATGAGAACAGACTTCAAAAGCTTTTACCAAGACATCTGATTCCCATTAAAGCTTCTCTGACTCCTCCTTCTACATTCTCTAACACAAAGGCGCCTTTAAAAAATTGAAAGAAAAACTTTCGGAACAGTATATTTTAAAATATATTATAATTCTTTAAAAGGTTCCTAAAGGCCTGCCATAATGGACACGACCGAGTCCACCGTATAATCCACATCGCCTTCTCAAAGACAAGTAAAAGTAACGTTACTGAACTCTCAGTCAAAGGCACAACAACATAAATATTCCTTTACCGTGAAGCTGTAACAGTTGTGAGGTTGTCGTGCTGTTTAAAGTCCTAGAACTTAGTCCCGCTGAGCATGGATGTGTTACATGACTAGCTGGAAAACATTTCAATGGTGTTTGTTTAACTCTTGCCTGTGAAGTTCAGAGATATTCAGTCCAGCCCACTGCTTCTGAAACCCGATCCAGGTGTTTCACAGCTGGCGCAGGTAAACAGTGCGACACAATCCGCGCAGACATGTTATTATATTTTGTTTATTATTTGTATTGTAATTGTTTTTATGTATTTATTTAAGAGCTGATTTTAAGAATTCCAGTGTAAAAAAATGTCCGTATATTATAGCCTACATATAGGCTAGTAAACAAATAGGGGCAACCCTTAAAAAGCTAAAATACGATAGGGGTTATATTTTTTTTCTTAAACTAAAATGTATACATTTTTATAAATCTAATGAATATTAAACCAACGTTATTAATATTACACAAGAGACTCGCCCACATCATAGATATGCATACGTAGCTTCCGCCATCTTGGAACGGTCAGAGTGTCTTCACTCACATTGTGCAGCTTCTTGTTGTGAAACCGCCGAGATTTAAATTCCCGAATAAAGAGGATAATGTTTCACATGTGAGAATGTCTTGGTTTGTGGGGTTTTATAATGTATTTACTCAAAATGACATGTTTTTACATTTTTTTAATGTCGTGTTAGCTCAGCTGACACCGTTTTGTATTGAGTTGAGCATTATTATCAGATTTAGATATTCATATGTGTCTAACTACGGTTGCAGACGCTCCGGCAACTTGCTCTCGAATGTTCACGGACCGGCTTTGACCGTTCCAATATGGCGGACGGCTTATGTCTAGCGGCCGCTTATGAGGCATCTATGTATGTATTTTTTTGATCTATCTGACGACCTTATCATCCCGCCCTCTTAGATGACGCATTATCCGCCAAGATGGTTGTCGGTGCCTTTCCAATTGCAAAGCTGCTCTATCTAGGCGTACGACAATTGGGCAAACCAGTGGCTAACAGGATAAAAGCAGGCGCGCGGAGAAGTGAATTCTTTAAGAATTATATTTGCCTTCCTCCGGCCCAAGGTAAGCGGGCATTTGTCTGTTCGTGTTTGACGATATGATGTCAGTCCATGCTTACGGTGTCCGTAGGCGTAAACGTCCAAAGAACACACGCCAATGACGTTTATCTGTATTTGCTATTTAGCCAATTGCAGAGCCGTTGAGAGATGGCTCTGGCCAATCGTGACTGTTGTGATACCTTATTGGGTGTTTTCAACAACTGATTTACCAAGCGACCAATAAGATACTAGAAAGAAGTTCCCTTTCGACAAATGACGTTCGAGTTTGTTTAACGGGGGCGGGACTCATCTGTCATTGAGGGTACAGCGAAAGTGCCTTTAGCTAGTTCTTGATTTTAAAATCCTTGACATAGAGCGGCTAACTTATTATCTTTTCTTTTGTGTGCACTCAAATAAAGACAACGATCCAGTCACTGGCCATTTTTGCTAGAAAATACTATAGATAGGCCTATAGATATCTTATATATATATATATATATATTATAATTTTAATGAATATTAATAGCTATTATGTACTAGTCTCTCGTTAAATATATATAATCTTTAAAAAAAAATATAGTATTCATATTCTAGTTAATGTTTTGATATCATTTGTATACGCACTGATGTCACTGTTTTCTGCAGAACTGCTTTGTAAATGAAATTAACTCCATGTATTATCTTTACAACGTAACTGAATCAACACTGAACTGACTTCCGCTGAACGATGACACTATTTTCATTTACAGCTGCTTTACAGCCGAAATGAACCATTAAATAATGTTCCTGTTATCACTGTAAAGCTGCTTCTTTTTGCCATGTAAATAAAGGTGACGTGACTTCACTGACTTGACTAGTCTGTTACATCGAAGGTAAAACCAAAGTGCATCTTTCCATGAATTCTCTCATGTTTTCTCTGTAGCGTACCACTGGATCGAGATGAGAACGAAGATGAGAATCATGGGTTTCCGTGGCTCCACCATCAAGCCGCTGAATGAAGAGGCAGCAGCAGAGCTGGGAGCGGAGCTGCTCGGGGAAGCCATCATTTTCCTCATCGGTGGAGGCTGTATGGTGCTCGAGTACAGCCGGCAGGCCACCAACGCCAGGCGCAAGGAAGAGGAGCTCGCACAAACCATTAACAGTCTGCAGACGCAACTAGGAGAGCTTGCACTCGCCACAGAGACACTGGATGCCCAAATCAGAGAGGTTAATAGACTTCTGCTGTCCCTCCCTGCAGCCCCGAGCACAAAATAACCACTTGCATCACTAAAACATGCCCTTGCTAAGGAGGGTAAAGAGACCGGTTCATGGGGACACCACTGCCATATTATTAACACATGGTTAAACCCTCCCATACACACTAGGCTCTACAAATGAGGAAGGTAAAGAGTGTTTGTGTCTGATAAGTGACTGACTGCCAGCATTACATAATAAAAGCTTGTTCGTTTTCTGTTTGGTTGAATGATGCTGTTTTCAAATGAAAGTTGTTAGTTATTTGATTGAAACGTTTGACCACTGTTTTGCTTTAATGTAATATGCTGTCAGAGTTGGACATTCATCAGTCATTAATGATCTGAAAATGCACTTGAATTGTGAATACTTGAATGACAAATTCAATCCATATCCCCAATTTGGGAAGTGGAGAGAGTGTGTGCTGCGAGAATATACCCATTACATCAAAAGACTGCTGTGTCTAATATGGCTTGTGTATATGGTTGTATATTTATCATTGTAAAATAAAGTTAAATATTCTATGATGGTTGGGTTTGTTTTTTTGTTTTTGTATCTTGATTATATTACAATTGTAAAAACATTTTTGTGGTTATCAAATGCCTTTTTTTCAAATTTTAGCACCACTTTTGGTATATTCTATGATGGTTGTTTTTTTTTTGTATCTTGATTATATTACAATTGTAAAAACATTTTTGTGGTTATCAAATGCCTTTTTTTTTCAAATTTTAGCACCATTTTCAGTATATTAAAGGCACAAAATGTTGTGTTTACTTAAAGAAGTACATAAAGGTGAAAAGTTTTAGCACTTAAAATGTACGAGTTCCCATATATAATGGCTTTAGAATAGAAACGATTACGTTTATTGTCACTACACAACTATAGTATGTGTGTGTGTATATATATATATATATATATATGTGTGTGTGTGTGTGTGTGTGTGTGTGTGTGTATAGACCATTTCACAAGATGTAAACAACAATGGTCCAGAAGCACTTCCTGTTTCAGTTTTTTAACACTACACAAAACCTGGGATAAAATACAACCAACAGAACATGTAAAACTGAATCAAAAAGTTAAACAAACATCTTTAAGATATTTTCTTTACATGTGAAATAAAGAAAACAGTTACAAACTGAAACAGGAAGTGTTTCTGGAACAGTGTTGTTTACATCTAGCAAAATGGTCTATATATATATATATATATATATATATATATATATATATATATATATATATATATATATATATGAAGAGTTCAGATGCAAAAGCCTCTAAGTGCCATTTGAAATTTTCTTCTAGAATGATCATTTTTATCAAGCTTGTATATTTAAGTTCAGTAATTTCAGTTAAATTGCAATGAGGATTACCTATTAATTGTTATTTAAGTGAAATTACTGAACTTGAATATGTAAGCTTGATAAAAATGATCATTTTAGAAGAAAATTTCAAATGGCATTTAGAGGCTTTTGCATCTGAACTCTTCATATACACTCACCGGCCACTTTATTAGGTACCCCATGCTAGTAACGGGTTGGACCCCCTTTTGCCTTCAGAACTGCCTCAATTCTTCGTGGCATAGATTCAACAAGGTGCTGGAAGCATTCCTCAGGGAGTTTGGTCCATATTGACATGATGGCATCACACAGTTGCCGCAGATTTGTCGGCTGCACATCCATGATGCGAATCTCCCGTTCCACCACATCCCAAAGATGCTCTATTGGATTGAGATCTGGTGACTGTGGAGGCCATTTGAGTACAGCGAACTCATTGTCATGTTCAAGACACCAGTCTGAGATGATTCCAGCTTTATGACATGGCGCATTATCCTGCTGAAAGTAGCCATCAGAAGTTGGGTACATTGTGGTCATAAAGGGATGGACATGGTCAGCAACAATACTCAGGTAGGCTGTGGCGTTGCAACGATGCTCAATTGGTACCAAGGGGCCCAAAGAGTGCCAAGAAAATATTCCCCACACCATGACACCACCACCACCAGCCTGAACCGTTGATACAAGGCAGGATGGATCCATGCTTTCATGTTGTAGACCCCAAATTCTGACCCTACCATCCGAATGTCGCAGCAGAAATCGAGACTCATCAGACCAGGCAACGTTTTTCCAATCTTCTATTGTCCAATTTCGATGAGCTTGTGCAAATTGTAGCCTTAGTTTCCTGTTCTTAGCTGAAAGGAGTGGCACCCGGTGTGGTCTTCTGCTGCTGTAGCCCATCTGCCTCAAAGTTCGACGTACTGTGTGTTCAGAGATGCTCTTCTGCCCACCTTGGTTGTAACGGGTGGTTATTTGAGTCACTGTTGCCCTTCAGCTCGAACCAGTCTGGCCATTCTCCTCTGACCTCTGGCATCAACAAGGCATTTCCGCCCACAGAACTGCCGCTCACTGGATGTTTTTTCTTTTTCGGACCATTCTCTGTAAACCCTAGAGATGGTTGTGCGTGAAAATCCCAGTAGATTAGCAGTTTCTGAAATACTCAGACCAGCCCTTCTGGCACCAACAATCATGCCACGTTCAAAGTCACTCAAATCACCTTTCTTCCCCATACTGATGCTTGGTTTGAACTGCAGGAGATTGTCTTGACCATGTCTACATGCCTAAATGCACTGAGTTGCCGCCATGTGATTGGCTGCTTAGAAATTAAGTGTTAACGAGCAGTTGGACAGGTGTACCTAATAAAGTGGCCGGTGAGTGTGTATATATATATATATATATATATGCTCAAACAACCATTTCAGGTGTGCTGCTATTATAAGAAAGTTTAACACTCTTACTTCAGCATTAAAAATACATTTATTTGTTCAAATGTGATGGTTATTTAAAGTCATTTTTACTTATTAGTGTGGTTGAATTGGATCACTGAAGATCAGCAGCAAAGACACTGATTAATAAAGTGAGATTAAATACATAAAGTATATTTGTGTTATTTAACATTTTATTATTACAGGTTAATATTCTTAGTTTTCATTTCACTGTATTTATTCATTTTGTGGAATTCAGAATCTGTTTTTGTGCAAGTGAAATTATTCTAGTCTAGAGATCTACAATAAGCATGACGTTCACACACACATTGGAAAATTGTCATTGTCACACACTGGAAAACAAATGCGTTGTTTTCTCGTAACTCGTGTAACTTATTTGAAGAAAAAGAAAACTAATGTTTTGCTGTAAATGTAAACGTAATGCATTACTTTAGTTACTTGAAAAGTAATCTCTTCATGTTAAATGTAGCCTTACCACTCAACACTAATTTAATAAAGACATTTTAATTTTTCCTCCTTCAATGAGATATGTATTTGAATTAATATATATCATTATATGGACACTGAATCTGATGTCTACAAGGCGTTGGAAGTGTCCAGTAGGAGGCAGCACTCAAACACTGGCCATCTTCAGTCTCAGTCGGTCTTCTCTTCTGCTGACCTGTCCTGTGCTGAAGCACGCGCTGGCCTGCTCCTGTGTTTACACAACGCACACAACTCAACAACAGCTTTTCCTTTGGTAAGTCCATGTAGACTTTTTTTACTGTCATTTTCGTGTTTGCATTAGTGAAATCAATGTCCATTCACGTTAGCTAGAATCCGCAGTTTGACAAATCAGACGAATGCATGCATGCATGCATGTGTCATTTTTGACTACATCGCATCATAAATGTGAAAGCATTCGCTGGATTACAGTAGTTTCGCGTGTTTACACATGCATTTACTGCACAATTTAGGTGTGCACGTGATTTAGCCGGTTAGCTGTGCGAATGACCCACCCTGCTAGAAAACAAAACAAAACATAGCTGGTTTTTAGTAAAATGCACATGATCCTAAACTGTTGTAGTTGGGTTTTACTGGTGTCTGGTCATTAGGTTTTTTCATTAGCTTTCTGTGACCAGTAGCTCAAAACTAGCTAACATATTTCAAAAAACAGTGGCTTATGCAATGCACAAGCATTATTGATGTTCTGGAGGTTCCATCAGCAGGATTGGGAGCAAGGGCTCCACGTTATGTCATGCATGATGAGCATGGATGTGAAGAAACTGAAGGTGAACGAGCTGAAAGAGGAGCTGCAGAAGCGAGGGATGGACACCCGAGGCCTTAAAGCGGATCTGGTGGAGCGTCTGCTGGAGGCTCTGGAGGAGGAGAAGAAACACACCTGTGATGAGGAGACAGAAGCAGGTACTAGAGTTTGTGTGCAGGAAGATGCATGCTTCCTATCTAATGATGATGATAATGAATTCGTGACCTCGTGTGTGACAGGTGTTGAGGCTGGGTCTGATCCAGGGCAGATGGACGGTGAGAAACAGGGCTGTGATGATGATCCTAAAAGCCCTGAAAACAAAACTGAGAGTTTGGAGGGACAACAGGCGACCGATGAGACGATCTGCAAGGAAGGTAAAACTGCAACTGGGAGTTTGAATGCATTTCATCCTCAATTTTGAGTTATGTGTCCCACTGGCTCGCTTGTTCATATACACTTAATTAAAACGTGTGATTTTTCTACCTCTTGACCACTATAGATTTTTTTTTTTTTTTGGATAGCCGTCGCCGATATCTTCGAGAGCTGAAATATTCATCACACATAAGTAACACTACTTATGATAGCAAGTAGGGCTGCACGATTTGGGCCAAAATGATAATCACGATTATTTTTTAGTCTTTTGTCCCTCAGGCGATACGGCTTTTTAACTCATCCCTTTGAGCAGGGCTTAATTTTAATTTTTATATATGTATATGTGTGTATGTATATATATATATATATATATATGTGTGTGTGTGTGTGTGTGTGTATATATATGAAGAGTTCAGATGCAAAAGCCTCTAAGTGCCATTTGAAATTTTCTTCTAGAATGATCATTTTTATCAAGCTTGTATATTTAAGTTCAGTAATTTCACTTAAATGGCAATGATAATTACCTATTAATTGTTATTTAAGTGAAATTACTGAACTTAAATATACAAGTTTGATAAAAATCATCATTAAAGAAGAAAATTTCAAATGGCATTTAGAGGCTTTTGCATCTGAACTCTTCATATATATATATATATATATATATATTTTTTGTCCTGTTTGTTTGTTTTTAATTAATTGTTGCTACTGGAAACTTGAATTTCCTTAACGGATGAATAAAGTACCTATCTATCCATCTATCCATCTATCCATCTATCCATCTATCTATCTATCTATCTATCTATCTATCTATCTATCTATCTATCTATCTATCTATCTATCTATCTATCTATCTATCTATCTATCTATCTATCTATCTTTTGATCAGTATTGAGATCACGATTATTTGTTGATTTTTAACCAAAACTAATTTTATTGTCACATGAGCTAATTATAATTGCTTTCACATCCATATTGTGCTTCATTCCTGCTAGTGTACAACTCTGTGCATAAAAATTACATAGGTCCACTTATTCAACAAAATTCAGTGCATCTTCTTAAAGAATAAATAAAAATAAAGAAAACAATAAATAAAATGTAGCAAAACTTCAACAAGGCACTATTTTACATCTACACTGCGTAAATATATTTTAGGAGGCAAAATATAAACTAGCATTTTACCTGCATAATGGATGTGAATAAAACGTGCAAAATATACAATCAATAAAAATACAAATATTTCATAACTGAATGTAACCAAATGAGAACATGTCAATTGTCAACATGTCAATGCATTGACTCACGGTACTATAGATCAGCGGTTCTCAAACTGGGGGCCGTGGCCCCCTGGGGGGCCACTAGATGGCGCTAGGGGGGCCGCAAAGAAATTTTAGAATATGAAATTATTTAAAAAAAAAATATTTTACCTGTATGTAAGTTTGGATTGTCCTATGTGAAATCTGCATTGTAAGTAGAGTAGAATTTTTTTTTGTTTCTTGCTGAAAAAACAGATTGCTGTTCAAATTTGCAAAGCAAACTTGAGCCACTGTCATTTACTACCTTAAAATGTAAGAAGTTTAATGCACTTTTTTACAATCAGCAAATTAATTTTTCAGTGTTTATCTTTTACTATGAACATCACAAATGTTCAGTATTCAATACTTTTGTTGCACTTTTCAGACAATATTACTGTTAACTGTCAAAACCATTTTTTATAAAAAAAATGTTATATTTAATGAAATGTACAATTTAACTAATTTTGTATATTCAAAGACATAAAGCTAAAAACAGAACTGTTGTTCCAGCATTGTACAAATTCATTTGTTTTTGGTACAATCTAAAATTTGTAAGTAAAATTGTACGTTTGAGGATGTTTTCGTTATGAGTTTTCTTTTGGGGGGCCACAAAAGGATTCACCCTACACAAGGGGGCCTCCTCCTGAAAAAGTTTGAGAACCACTGCTATAGATCATGTTTTTCTAACTCTAATATTTTTGATACCTCATTGCCCCCTTTCATTACTTCAGATGCCCCGTCTTCAGTGCTTGCTTTATATTGAACATTGATTGTTTGACTGCAGAAGTGGCACCAGTGAAGGTGAAAGATGAAGATGAGATAAAGCCGGAGCAACAGGAGCAGCGGCGATCGGACCCTGACGGTGAAGAGAGCCGGCAGACCGTTAAAACCAAGCCTGAACAGGACGGACATGCACATCACGGCCACAAGAGGCGCTATGACGAGAGCCACGGTCACAGCTATTATGAACACCGTGAAGACAGGAGGTGAGTTTACCTCAGAGCTTTTGTTATAATCACACCTATCAGCGTTAGGATTTTGACATTGTGATTTTCTGTTTGATCTCAGGTCCCGTTCTCCTCTTCCTCCCGCTGACGAGGACGAGGAAGACTTTGATGGCACGCTAGTGGCTATTGACACTTGTACGTAAGAGCTTGTTTTGTTCAGTTTTGATTTATTATCATGCTAATGCTATTCTCTCTGCTAACCTCAACAGATAACTGTGACTTGCACTTCAAAGTCTCTCGGGATCGCTGCAGTGGATATCCGTTGACCATCGAGGGGTTTGCTTACCTGTGGTCTGGAGCACGAGCCACGTATGGTGTCAACAAGGGACGCGTGTGCTATGAGATGAAGGTAACTGCTGCGTCCCAATTCGCCTACTTATTAGAGCCCGACCGATAAAGGATTTTGAAGGCCGATACCGATACAAATATTGTTTGGTTTTAAAATCCGATATCCCGATATATCGGCCGATATTTTTTTTATTTATTTTTTCAGAAAGGCGCAACAAAACATTAACAGATTTCCTTAACATTAGTTATTTGTAGTTATTTATGAGTTTTAACCAAAATAATATGATAATGCATTTTAAAAAGAAACTTTCTAAAAGTTTATTTTATTGTCACACAGAACAGACTGATGATAGTGGCATTAGCTAGTTTTATGGTTAGCTAGTCTATAATGAACCATAATTTAGCAATGGATTACATCATACTGCAAATTGTAAAACATACATTTTCAATATAACTGACCAAGGAAACTTCCGTCGGCCACAAATTTTGTCCTGCTTATTTGAGTTAAGAGAACTGATGGGGATGTCCTTTTAATTGTTATTCAAGCAATGTATGTCTCGTGACCAACTTAACTAGTGTTGCCAGCAGGGACGGTGTAGAGTGCCCTCTGGTGGACAAACTATACAACTCCAACACTCATGACATGGTTCAAGCGTGTTTGGTCCGTTTTTATTTTATTTTTGAAATATTCATTTATCGGCCATTATAACTGCCGATACCGATAGTTTGGAAAATGCCTAATATCCGCCGATAATATCGGTCTGGCTCTAATACTTATACTACGCTCTAAAAGGTAATTCACCTTTGGCAATAAGGGCTTTAATTTAAATTTGGCTGCCTATACACTAGTTCAATTCAATTCCAATCTATTTCACAACACATATTGTTTCAAAGCAGCTTTACAGAAAGTGCATTTCATAGAAAAGATACAGTTAGTTAATCATGTATTACTTTAGGGCATAACATGTCGCCGGTGTTTAGTAGTAAGGCTAAAAAAGCCTGTCGACATCCTTTTCCCAAATAGGTTTTGAAAACTTCAACACCCATAATGCACTGCGCATGTTGTCATCAAAGGCCACTCACACTCTGCTATGGATGCCCCCCAAAATGACTACTATTTAATACATGTATTGTCTTTCTTTCTTTCCCAGATCCTAGAGAATGTATCAGTAAAGCATCTTCCCAGCAGTGAGCCGGATCCGCACGTCGTGAGAGTCGGCTGGTCTCTGGATTCCTGCAGCACACAACTGGGTGAGGAAGCACACGTCCAGTTAGACTCTGAGGGTTTGTTGTACAAATGATCTTTATTGATACTTATGTTAGGAAATGACTGTTTCAGGGGAGGAGCCGTTCTCTTATGGGTATGGCGGAACAGGGAAAAAGTCTTCAAGCTGCAAATTTGAGGATTACGGAGAGAAGTTTGGTGAAAGCGATGTCATTGGATGTTATATTGTGAGTGCTATTCTTGAGTGCTTCTTAAAGGGGTGATTATGATTCACTTTTATAACTTTAGGTAGTGTGTGATGTCGCTTTTTGAGAATAAACCACATCTGCTAATTTACAACGCTCAAAGTTCAAAGCAAAGGGAGATGTTTGCTTTTAAAGAAATCATTTTTTAAGGACTACAACAAACGGCTAATAGGAACTACAGAGCTTCCTCCTGACATTAGTGACATCACTAACCCTAATATTTGCATAAACCCCGCCCCCGGGAACACGCAGTCCATGTTGAGAAGAGGAAGAGCTGTTGTAGTCACTCACAACAGTTCCTATACAAGCGATTTATAGATTATCCTGACAGAATATGCTAATTGAAGATAGTTAACTCCACATAAATTCATCAACTAACCATTCAGATATGTTGTCACTTCTTCTTAAATCTCTCCATCTTTGTCTGACTCCGGTTTAAACATAAAAGGCAGAACAGTCTCTGATATTTTAGTTTGTGTCTGCGTGAGGTAATCAAGCTGTTAACACATACACTCTTGAAACTCCGCCCACTGTGTTGGGAGCTGCAGCTCATTTGCATTTAAAGGGCCAGACTCAAAACAGTGCGTTTTTGCTAAACCTCAAAACGTGACAACTTTAACATGCTATATACAAATATCTGTGGGGTATTTTGAGCTAAAACTTCATATACCCTCTCTGGGGACATCAGATATTTATTTTATATCTTGTGAAAAGGGCATTACCACCCCTTTAACTGCTGTTTACTGCTAATCAGGCAGCTGCCTTCTAAAGGTGCTGTCACGTTTACCACACTGTAAAAAATATTTTCAAGATTTGTTATCACAACATATTTTCTTTTGTTAAATCAACTTTATAATAATTTATTTAGGTGAGAACTTATTATTTTGAGTTTCTGATGGTTAAATTAATCTCCTTCATTGTATTAACTCCCTTTTTCCAGTTCAATCAACTTAAAATTTTAAGGCAACCAGGTTACTTACTTTTTTAAGTTAAACCAACAATATTTTTTACAGTGTAGTAATCACAACATTTTTTCTTTTGTCAAATCAACTTAAATTATTTATTTAGTTCAGATAACATATAATTTTGAGTTTCTGATTGTTAAATTAATCTCCTTCATTGTATTAACTCACTTTTTCCAGTTCAATGAACTTAAAATTTTAAGGCAACCAGGTTACTTACTTTTTTAAGTTAAACCATCAGTATTTTTTTACAGTGCAGTGATCTGCAAATTTTAGAGAGCCAAATCCAGTCATTTAAATGCGAATTGGTCCAATTAAGGATTACACACAGGAAGCTTTGAGTGTGTCATTAGCATGTTGCTAAGCTAATGACATGATATTTTAAATCATTTAAAAATGAATATTCTGTCATCATTTACTCGCCCTCAACTTGTTTCAAACCTGTATGAATTTCTATCTTCTGCTGAACACAAAAGAAGATATTTTGAAGAATGTCTGTAACCAAACAATTGATTTTTTTTCTTGCAATGGAAGTCAATGGGGTCCATCAACTGTTTGATTGCCAACATTATTCAAAATATCTTCCTCTGTGTTCAGCAGAAGAAAGAAATTCACAAAGGTTTGAAAAAAAATTGAGAAATGAGGACAGAATATTAATTTTTAAGTGAAGTATTCCTTTAAAATGCTGTTTAGGTAATAGTAGACAGCTCACTAGGTTGTGGAACGGAGGGAATAATGAAAGAAAATCTAAATAACGAACATAAAACTACTTGAATGAAGTAGTTGACTTGTAGTCTCATGCGTTTGTCTTTTACAGGACTTTGATAGCCATGAGCAGGTTAAAATGGCTTTCTCAAAGAACGGGAAGTGGCTTGATGTGGCATTTCACATATCTAAAGAAGAGCTGGCTGGTCGCGCGCTCTATCCTCATATCCTGGTGAAGAACTGCGCCGTCCAGTTTAACTTTGGCCAACAGGACGAACCTTTCTTTCCTTTGCCAGAAGAGTACGCACTCATCGGGGCCGTCGACATGGAGAACAGGGTCAGAGGCACTATTGGTCCTACCAACAAATCTGATTGTGAGGTAAATTCTCCTAATTCACTCCATACAGTCGAGGAAATCAGTTTGACTCATAATATAAAGAGAAACCAATATGTTTCTGTTGAAAATAAGAGTATCCAGCTTCAAACTAATGTTGGATACAGAAACACCAGGACAATCAGTTGACGTCATTCACACAGGTTCAGAATAATCCTAGTAACGTCCGAACTTGTGTTCTGTTACACAAATGTGCTTATTTATACATGCAGTTTGTACTCAGATTTCTGAGAAACACCGTTGATATTTGAAATCAACCCAAACACACACACCCCTCCCTTCATTGTTCTGCCCACAATAAAGCAAAGATGACGGCCGACAAAGAACAAAAAATGAACATATTGTACAGTACATGCAAGCAAGAGTTTGTTGACAATGATACAATGACACTCAATGGGTCTCATTCATGAAACATTCGTAAATACGAGAGTGATTTGCGCGTAAAGAGACCTTCCCGAAAACTCATCTCCTGATTCACAAATACTTCGTCAGATGTGATAGTCAAATGTGTGTGTGTGTTAATGAATTACAATCAGTCGTAAATGGGACGTGCGTGCACGCTCATTCTCATTTACCATAAATCCCACCCATTAAAGGAGTAGTTCACTTTTAAAAAAACTTTTGCTGATAATTTACTCACCCCCATGTCATCCAAGATGTCCATGTCTTTCTTTCTTCAGTTGAAAAGAAATTAAGGTTTTTGATGAAAACATTCCAGGATTTTCTCCATATAATGGACTTCAATGTGAACCAAATGATTCAAGGTCCAAATGAGAGTTTCAGTGCAACTTCAAAGGGCTTTAAACGACACCTGATGATGAATAAGGGTCTTATCTAGCGAAACGATCGCTCATTTCAAAAATAAATTAAAAAGTTTAAGTTTTATAACCTTAATTGCTTGCCTTGCTCTGTTCTGGGTGACTCTCCTGTTTGAACTGAAATAAACAAATCTTTTCCTGAGTCAACTCATTCATTTTGTTCATTGAATGAACCAAATGACACGAAAAAAGATTTGTTCATTTTGATGAACGAGTTCGAACGTGCATCACAGAACAGAGCAAGGCGAGCATTTGAGCTTATAAAACTTAGTTTTGTTTTTTTGTTTTTTAAATGAGCGATCGTTTCGCTTGATAAGACCCAAACGCTCATTTGGACCTTGAACCATTTGGACCCCATTGAAGTCCATTATATGGAAAAAAAACTGGAATGTTTTCATCAAAAACCTTAATTTCTTTTCGACTGAAGAAAGAAAGACATGGACATCTTGGGTGACATGGGGGTGAGTAAAAGTCTTTTTAAAAGTGAACTACACCTTTAAGAAGCACAACTGTTTTCAACTTTGATAATCAGAAATGTTTATTGAGCACTAAATCATCATATTAGAGTGATTTGTGAAGGATCATGTGACACTGAAGACTGCAGTAATGATGCGGTAAATTCAGCTTAGTTCAAAGAAATAAGTTGCATTTTATAATATATTCAAATAGAAAACTTTTTTTTTTAATTGTGATATTTCACAATATTTTGGTTTTTATTGTATTTTTGATCAAATAGATGCAGCCTCTGAGTGTAAGAGACTCCTTTCAAAAACTAAAATATCTTGGTCTCAAATAAAGATGTATAATCAAGAGTTTATGGCTGTTGTCTGTAGGTCCTGATGATGGTCGGTCTTCCTGCTTGTGGTAAAACCACATGGGCGTCTAAGCATGCAGAAATGAACCCAGAGAAGAAGTTTAACATCCTGGGCACAAACGCCATCATGGAGAAAATGAAGGTAAGATCAGCAGGTTTAAATGTGTTTTATAGTTCACATTTGAGAAAAGATGTCGTGTTGACTTTTTTTTAAACTTTATTTGCAAATTTATACATATATATATTTTTCATACTTTTGAACGGTAGTGTTTATTGCTTTAAAAAATAGTTTTTACAATTTTACAATCACAATCTCTATTTTACATATTTGGTTGATTGGTTTTCAACAGAGGAGCCGTCATTTATCAATTTGCAGCAAAAATATTTTCATAGTCCTAAGGCGTGTTGAGACCTTTATTTTGAAATAAGTGATGAACATGAAAAATCATGAAAGAAGGGTAGAAACCTCAGTTTGTTTTCATGCCAAGAGTTGAAAAGATAGCATCCATTCAATTATTTTAGAAAAAAATACGTCTGGAATGTTTTAAATATAAAGAAAAAAATAATAGATTTACCATTTGTGAGGTGGCAGCGAGCTATATCGCACATGCCTGTTCTTTTTGTTTCTTAGAAGTTAAATTCATATCAAAATCTGCCAAACTTCCCATACTACTTCTGAATAGGATCTCTACTTCATAAATTGTATGAAAATTGTGGAAATAATGGTTCATATCACTCAAAACACATATGGAAATGGAGACGCCCTTATATGGGCAGTAATGGAGTCTGGTTGTGCCCTAGTGGAATTGTTCGGTACTGCACCCACCAAAATCTCACTGAAAGCTCATTTTTTGAGATATCAACTTAAAATTTGAAACACAACTTGCTCCGATGTTTTTTTTTTTTTTTTTTTTTTTTTTGCAGTTTTAGTCACACCGGTTTTGAAAATATATATTTTATATAAAAGATCAATAATTAAATTCTTTACATTGTACATTTTCATAAACTCAAACATCTATAACCTTGTTTTTATTTCACTTTCTTAATATATTTCACTTCTACAAAAATCTGCCAAATGTCTTCTTTAAAACGAGACCAATCTTACGTCGATATTCCAAAGCATTCTTTAATTACAACCATTTAAGTTCGAAATGTACATTATCATGTATATTCAAAAAAGGGGGGGTTACACTCTCTCTTTCTCTGTATGGTCATAGGTGATGGGATTGCGTCGCCAGCGTAACTACGCCGGACGCTGGGATATCCTGATTCAACAGGCCACTCAGTGTCTGAACCGACTGATCCAGATCGCCGCCCGCAAAAAACGAAACTACATCCTGGATCAGGTACAGAAAACACCTTCCCATGATTCCCAGCGAAAGCATGACTGTGAATGAGCTCTTATGTTCTTCTTGGAATTAATTAATATATCTTTCTGGATAAAATATCTTTCATCTTATCCTTCATATAATAGGGTAAAAACAGCAGCCTTTGATTGAAAGTTGTATTGAAAGGACAAACTGAAGTGTCAGAAAAACATCATGAAGATCAAACATGTTCTTTTTAGCATTTTAATTATCTTCCATTTCCAATTATGTAGAATTGTTCTGTGAGTCTCTTTGATAATGATTAGTAGCCCATGACTGTAGGAAGACAAGTATTCTCAGCCTGGTGAGGGAGAAAAACACATTTTGTTGCAATGGTAATTCTAAAAGAAATATCCTCGGTTATAAAGAGACGTCTGTTATCCTGTGGGTTGCTTTTGTTGTTGTAGTGTTTTTTTTTCAGTACAAAGGTAAGTGGTAAATCTTGGCTTTTCAGGACAGTGTGTGAGTGTGTCTCTGCTTTCCGAGAATGTGGTTGTGTGTCCTGAAAATGTTCAGTTTGGTCCTAGAATGCTGTTTTCTCTCTCGTAAATAAACGAATGTAACATTATTAAAGGGATAGCTCACTTTGAAATTAATTTTTGGTATGTTTTAGCTTACCTCAAGGGCATCCAAAATGTTGGTGTCTTTGTTTCCGCAGTAGTTTCAATTTTGATATTTTTAGGTCAAACCGTTCTTGTCTGTCAGTCATATAGTGGAGGTCTATGGTCACCACCTCAAAGAAAATGCATAGAGAAGTGTAGGCCATCAACGTGTACTTACATTTACGAGTCATTAAATCATGTTTAATTTGGACTTCTCTGCGCATGCTCTTTGAGGTGGTGACCATAGACCTCCATTATATGACTGACAGACAAGTACGGTTTGACCTAAAAATATCAAAATTGAAACTACTGCGGAAACAAAGACAAAGTGAACTATCCCTTTAATGACTCAAATAGAGGACTGACAACCGTTTTCTGCTTCTGTGTGAACGTGGCCGAAGGATCTCTAAAAAAAGTGAAGGTGTTGTTAAGAGTCCATCAGGGAAAGAAAGAAAAACTACTCTTATTTCAATAAAACACATTTTTACAGAACCCAAAAGAAAAAATAATAAACAGCTTCTACTTCTTTCTTGTCCTTATTTCTAGACGAATGTATATGGATCAGCCCAGAGACGAAAAATGCGCCCTTTTGAAGGTTTTCAACGCAAGGCTGTTGTAATTTGTCCCTCGGACGAAGATTTAAAAGAGCGAAGGTTAAAGCAAACCGAGGAAGGGAAGGATGTGCCCGATCATGCTGTTTTAGAAATGAAAGGTAAGAACGCTGCTATGGAAAACAACAACATTAGAAATGATAAAAGATCACTTGATTGAAACTTCTGCCTTTAGTAATTAAACTTTGACATGTACCACTTCCTCATATAAAACGGCTTTATCTCTCGGACCCCTGTTCTCAGGCTGTGTACACCTGATATTAAAGGGATAGTTCACTTTGAAATTATTTTTTGATATGTTTTAGCTTACCTCAAGGGCATCCAAGATTGTTTCCACAGTAGTTTCAATTTTGATATTTTTAGGTCAAACCGTTCGTGTCTGTCAGTCATATAATGGAGGTCTATGGTCACCACCTCAAAGAGCATGCACAGAGAAGTCCAAATTAAACATGATGTAATGACTCATACATGTAAGTACACATTGATGGCCTAAGACACGAAACGAGCGGTTTGTGTGAGAAAACGAACAGAATTTATATCGTTTTTACCTCTTGTAACCACAGCCACGTCCAAGTACTCTGAGGGCGCGGGCAACGCAAGTGCGCCGTAAAGCCCCAGAAGTGATCTCCGCTCATTTCATGTCTTGGGCAATCAATGTGTACTCACATTTACGAGTCATTAAATCATGTTTAATTTGGACTTCTCTGTGCATGCTCTTTGAGGTGGTGACCATAGACCTGCACTATATGACTGACAAGAACGGTTTGACCTAAAAATATCAAAATTGAAATTACTGCGGAAACAAAGACACTTACATCTTGGATGCCCTTGAGCTAAGATAAAACATACCAAAAATTAATTTCAAAGTGAACTATCCCTTTAATAAAGTCTTTGTTTTCTGTCTGTTAGTTTGATCTTCTTTCCTCTTTCCATGGCTTTAAAGCCAACTTTGCGCTCCCAGAGGTTGGAGACTTCCTGGATGAAGTGATCTTTGTTGAGCTCCAGAAAGCCGAGGCAGAGGAGCTGGTGAAACGGTACAATGAGGAGGGTCGTAAGGCCGGGCCTCCTCCTGAGAAACGCATGGACAGCTGGGGATCCCGGAGACGTGAAAGCGGCCACCAGCAGTACGACCACCACGGGGGATCGAGAGGAGACCATCGGAGCAGAGGACCTCCCGCAGGAGGCTATAGGGGAGGTGGAGTGACCTTATGGGTGTCATGATCACTCATTCAAAAATTCTGTCATTCGTGTTTTTGTCATCTTGCTCTGTGCTTTGTCAGGTTATAACCGCGATGGTTACAGTCAGAACCGCTGGGGAGGAAATTACAGAGACGGGCGAGATGGATACAGCAGCAGACATCAGTCTGAAGGAACCTACAGTAATAACCGCTACGGCTCCTATAGCAAAGAGGGAAATAGCCAAGTGAGTGATGTTCACAGCCAAAAGAGTTAGTTCACCCAAAAATGAAAATTCTGTGATTAATGACTCTCCCTCATGTCCTCATGTAAGACCTCCTTTCATCTTCAGAACACCGTTTAAGATATTTTAGATTTAGTCTGAGAGCTTTCTGTCCCTCCATTGGAAATGTGTGTACGGTATACTGTCCTTGTCCAGAAAGGAAATAAAGACATCATCAAAGTTTTGTTTTTTAAACAATAAAGCATACTCTATTGCATCCCAAAATCAAGACTTCTTAAAGGGTTAGTTCACCCAAAAATGAAAATTAAGTCATTAATTACTCACCCCCATGCTGTTCCAACCCCGTAAGACCTTCGTTCATCTTCGGAACACAAATAAAGATATTTTTGATTGAATCTGAGAGCTGGATCAGTCCTAGATAGACTGCCTAAGGGACTGGCTCTTGACGGCCCATAAAGTCATTAAAGAAAAGGTTTAAATATTCCATGTGCCTACAGCGGCTCAATTATAAGTTTATCAAGCGACGAGACTACTTTTTGTGCGAAAAAAACATAAATAACGACTTTATTCCACTATTCCATTACTTCCTTATGGGTGCATGCGCGAGAACTGAGACGAGGACGTTCTCATTCGTCTACTTCTTGTTACCGGCTGCTCACCGCTTAGGAGTTTTACCGCCCCCTACTGTATAAGATGATGATCCATATATAAGGCGCTCCGGATTATAAGGAACACTGTCGTTTTTTGAGAAGATTAAAGGCTTTTAAAAGCACCTTGTAGTGCGGAAAATACGCTAATTGAAAAGCGTATGTACAGCGCGCATCTTCCTCTGCTTGTAAACAGAAAGTTTTGTGCTTCCAGCTATATCAGCACATCATCTTATACGGTAGGTGGCGGTAAAACTCCTAAGCGGTGAGCAGCCGGTAACAAGAAGTAGACGAATGAGGACGTCCTCGTCTCAGTTCTCGCGCATGCGCCCATAAGGAAGTAATGGAATAGTGGAATAAAGTCGTTATTTATGTTTTTTTCGCACAAAAAGTAGTCTCGTCGCTTGATAAACTTATAATTGAGCCGCTGTAGGCACATGGAATATTTAAACCTTTTCTTTAATGACTTTATGGGCCGTCAAGAGCCAGTCCCTTAGGCAGTCTATCTAGGACTGATCCAGCTCTCAGATTCAATCAAAAATATCTTTATTTGTGTTCCGAAGATGAACGAAGGTCTTACGGGGTTGGTACAGCATGGGGGTGAGTAATTAATGACTTAATTTTCATTTTTGGGTGAACTAACCCTTTAAAAGGGCATAATTGGACCCCTTTAACTGCTGTTTTTTTGTGTTTATGTTGAAAAGTTGAAAAGTAAAAAGCATGCAGCACATACACGTGTTCTAAACGTCTCAGTAGTGTGGGTGGCGTCAGGATGTTTTGACAAAAATGAACTTTACTGGGACTATATTGGGGCATTATGAGATGTTTGTGTGGATTTATCTACTTTTGTTTTATTTTGCTTTCTATATCCCCCCAACATTTTTTAGGGTTATCATCAGGGTTATAATCAAGGCTACAACCAGGGCAACTATAGCCAAGGAAACTACAACCAAGGCTACAACTATGGCAACTACAGCCAATATCCAGGTTATGGACAAGGTTACCATGACAGTCAAGGATCTGGGCAATCATATAACCAGCAAAACTACAATCAACAGTATCAACAGGTGAGTTACAAGCAATGTTCTGTGATTAAAAACAACTTTAGCTACAGTGTGTGAACGCATTTGTGGAAGCTGAAAATCTTTTTGACTCGCCCCTCAAATAACAGTTTTAAAAGCTTCTAATCTGCTACTAAAAATGCTAGTAAAATCCTATAAAATAGGAATATCTCTCAACTATCATACAAAGGGGTTAATATTCTGCATTTAAAATGTACGAATCAATATCCGACAAATTGTATTACTGCTAATAATAATTAAGCATATGACCGCTTGTTAGCAATCCTCCCGAATGTTAATTTTATAATACATGGAAAGAAGTCCATTTAAAAACTATTCATGTACTAAAACGGACAGTTTTCATTTGGCGTTTCTTAAGTACAGACGACAGTGTTGTCAAAACGATCTTCGTTCACACGCATTCGCAAAAACGTAGTTTAAAAGAAACACTACGCACCTATAGACTGAACACGTAATACTATGGAAGCTTGTTTCTGCCACTGAATAGAAAATAAATGAAATAATAATAATTGCGACTTTTTCTCACAGTTGCGACATATGAAGTCAGAATTGTGAGAAATAAAGTCGACTTTATATCTTGCAATTTTGACTATCACACAATTCTGACTTTATATCTCACAATTCTGACTTTATATCACTCAATTCTGACTTTATATCACGCAATTCTGACTTTATCTCGCAATTCTGACTTTATATCTCACAATTCTGACTTTATATCACACAATTCTGACTTTATATCACACAATTCTGACTTTATATCTCACAATTCTGACTTTATATCTCACAATTCTGACTTTATATCATGCAATTCTGACTTTATCTCGCAATTCTGACTTTATATCTCGCAATTCTGACTTTATATCACGCAATTCTGACTTTATATCACGCAATTCTGACTTTATATCTCGCAATTCTGACTTTATAAAGCAATTCTGACTTTATATCTCACAATTCTGACTTTATATCTCACAATTCTGACTTTATCTCGCAATTCTGACTTTATATCTCGCAATTCTGACTTTATATCTCACAATTCTGACTTTATCTCGCAATTCTGACTTTATATCACGCAATTCTGACTTTATATCTCGCAATTCTGACTTTATAAAGCAATTCTGACTTTATATCTCACAATTCTGACTTTATCTCGCAATTCTGACTTTATATCACGCAATTCTGACTTTATATCTCGCAATTCTGACTTTATAAAGCAATTCTGACTTTATATCTCACAATTCTGACTTTATATCTCGCAATTCTGACTTTATATCTCGCAATTCTGACTTTATATCACACAATTCTGACTTTATATCTCACAATTCTGACTTTATATCACTCAATTCTGACTTTATATCACGCAATTCTGACTTTATCTCGCAATTCTGACTTTATATCTCACAATTCTGACTTTATATCACACAATTCTGACTTTATATCACACAATTCTGACTTTATATCTCACAATTCTGACTTTATATCTCACAATTCTGACTTTATATCATGCAATTCTGACTTTATCTCGCAATTCTGACTTTATATCTCGCAATTCTGACTTTATATCACGCAATTCTGACTTTATATCACGCAATTCTGACTTTATATCTCGCAATTCTGACTTTATAAAGCAATTCTGACTATATCTCACAATTCTGACTTTATATCTCACAATTCTGACTTTATATCTCACAATTCTGACTTTATCTCGCAATTCTGACTTTATATCTCGCAATTCTGACTTTTATATCTCTCAATTCTGACTTTATATCTCACAATTCTGACTTTATCTCGCAATTCTGACTTTATATCTCGCAATTCTGACTTTATATCTCACAATTCTGACTTTATCTCGCAATTCTGACTTTATATCTCGCAATTCTGACTTTATAAAGCAATTCTGACTTTATATCTCACAATTCTGACTTTATCTCACAATTCTGACTTTATATCTCACAATTCTGACTTTATCTCGCAATTCTGACTTTATATCATGCAATTCTGACTTTATATCTCGCAATTCTGACTTTATAAAGCAATTCTGACTTTATATCTCACAATTCTGACTTTATATCTCGCAATTCTGACTTTATATCTCGCAATTCTGACTTTATATCTCGCAATTCTGACTTTATAAAGCAATTCTGACTTTATATCACGCAATTCTGACTTTATATCTCGCAATTCTGACTTTATAAAGCAATTCTGACTTTATATCTCACAATTCTGACTTTATATCTCGCAATTCTGACTTTATATCTCGCAATTCTGACTTTATATCACACAATTCTGACTTTATATCTCGGAATTGCGACTTTATATCTCGCAATTCTGACTTACTTTATATCTCGCAATTCTGACTTTATATCACACAATTCTGACTTTATATCTCGCAATTCTGACTTTTGTCTGCACAAATTCATGTTTTTGTAATCTACACAGACAACAATGCTATCATTTTCAAAAACACGCACTTTGAAACCCATTTGCATTTTCAGGCCCCCAAAACACTGTTGTCATGTAAATGAACGGCCAAAACGCATAAAGTTTGCATTTTTTTTAGTTAAAAATGGCGTGTAAACAATGAATGTGTACACTGTAAATGCAATTTCTGTTCTTTATTATAATAAACTGGATTGAGTGATTCAAAGTATTGTCCGCATGCCACATATCCTGTTAATAGTTTTGTTTTTGTTTTGTTTTTTACATTGCTTGAATATTTTATAATCATTTTAGGTCTTCTTATCATGTTTAAACACTTTTGTCATTATTAGATCAGATTGAAATGCAAAACCATAGGTGCGTTCACTCAATGTCGTAATTACGAGATTTGAACTGAGACTGTTCACAAAAGTATGATGTCACATGTTGTCATCTGTAAAATAAGTTCCTAAAGCTTGTTGTAAAGTTGTTGTGGTGTGTTTCTCCAGTATGCGCAGCAGTGGCAGCAGTATTATCAGAATCAGAGCCAGTGGAACCAGTACTACAGTCAATATGGGAGTGGGAACTACTCTGGACAACAGGGTTCACAGTGAACAGGAACAACGCGCTGACATCATCACCTCTGTAATCACACACCCACACGTATACACACCATGCCACGCTTCTCTTATTAAAACACGTCCGTCCACATCATTTAATTTTCTCTTTCATACCATTGACGCATTTATTACCAAGACTAATATCGTTCGGAACTAAATGACAAACTAAACGAAAATGTACTGATATGATCATGCAAGATACAATCAAACCCCTGAGTTTGAAATGAAGGACCATAATATGACTGATTTCTAATAAATGTGAAAGATATTATTATTGGTCGGTGCTTCATGTTGTAGTACCACAACCAGCCTGCAGGTGTAGAAACTGTGAACAAAGTTTTGATTTGCCTAAATTTGATTTAATTTGGAATGTAGCTGCTTTTCTCTTCATTTAACACGAGACGTGAGTGTGTTTTTGGTTTAAATTGTAGTTGTCCAATGTTTTAGAAACTCATTGGCATCGCAGATGGGAAGATGAAGGGTTTTGATTGTGTTGAACTTCTCTTCTTGATAATAGAAAAGCCAATTTTAAGCGTTCATAGCTGACAAACTACCGCATTTATTTCTGTGTTCTTCGTGGACGTCATTTGTTCTGTCCTGTCCAATCCATTTTTTGCTTTGAGAATTAAATTGTAAAACACTACAGTGGCTCTTCTGATGGTTTAAAACTCACTCACTCGCATGTCGAATCTAATGAAACCAGCGTTCATTCGTATGGGACAAAAAAAACCAACATTTTTATTTCAATCACATCAGGCAGTGCTTCATTATTTATCATTCCTCAATAAATAAAAATCTATAGCCTAAATTCAAGATTTAGTAAAACAGACATTCAAGTTGGAGATGATCTAACAGAAAACATGTTAGAAAAACAATCAAAATTGGTCCACAGTGTTCGTTTCAATTGACCCTTGATGTCACTCTCCCGCTCTTTTTTTTTTTTTTTTCCCCATACGCCAAATGGACACGATCTCTAATGAAGTAGATTGTGATCATTCTGAATCGAGACAGGACTATTGTCTGATATAAACAGTGATATAATACCCTTTGTCGTCTCCTCGGTGAATTGTTCATTGCATAAGGCACAGTGATGCATCATCAGCACCGAAATCACGAGGTACATTCTTCCTGTTCAAGTCCAATACAGTTGGTCATTTTCCATTCTTGCAGAAAGCACCTCGTGACGAAAGGCAAGAAAGTCCGTCGTCGGTCTCGTACGAAGACGAGTGGTAGTGAGGTCCTCGCTGGCAGTTGACGCTGGTGCATAGAGAGGGTTTCAAAGAGCCCTGACTGTAATCCCTTAAATAAAATCCCTTCCGGGTAGAATTTCATCACATTTAATGAACGTCATGAACAATCTGTTGAAGACAATAGAACAAGACAGTTGGCGAGAAAGATGAGGACATGTTGTGTCCAGTGTATTTAACAGTCCCACCACACACAAACAAAACGGCCATTTTGCACAGACTACTTCAGTCTGGCTCCTTTCGTTTATCTTTGTTCAGCTTCAGTTCATCCATTTTCTCCTGTAGGAGAGAACTAGGGGCAGATGAACCTCGCACCCTTGCTGGAAGAGTGGCACTCTGGGATGATAAGGCAGGTAACGTTAGTCTCAAGATGTGCATGCTAACCAGTCTCACGTACCAACTTAACTTTGTTTGCTGTGAGGAAAAACAAGACATTGTGTGCTTCATGGCAATACCTTTTCAAGGGGGGGGTGTTGCTTCTGGGAATGAAGACGATCTTTCCGTTTGGCCACCGGCGTCCAAACTCCTGGGTCCGTCTGAGTGGACCTGTCGGATAGTGTGGCCGCCTCGGCGTCGCTGTCCGATGAAGTTTGGCCCTTGGAGCTTTCGGATCGGTTTCCGTTAGGAAAGACGAATGCTTCCTCTTCAGAACCTGGCCGGAAAACAAAGCATGAAATCAAAATTGAGCATTTTATTCTAAATGATTTATCCTTGCAAAATGGCTAAATTCCCCTCGCTCTTGTAACTTCTCTTCTCCGATGACGTGTTTAGTGACGCAAGGACGGGACAACCTGTCACTCAGCAAACCACAAGCTAGCCTTAAAGGAGTAGTTCGCTTTTAAAACAAACTTTTGCTGATAGTTTACTCACCCCCATGTCATCCAAGATGGTCAATGAGTTGAAAAGAAAATAAGGTTTTTGATGAAAACATTCAGGGATTTTCTCCATATAATGGACTTCAATGGGAACCAAATTGTTCAAGGTGAGAAATGAGTTTCAGTGCAGCTTTAAACGACACCAGACGATGAATAAGGGTCTTATCAAGGACTCCATGAAGATTTGTCCATTTTGATGAACGAGTTTGAACAGGAGAGTCACGAACGCGCATCACAGAACAGAGCAAGGCGAGCATTTGAGCTTATAAAACTAAAACTTTTTTATTTATTTTTGAAATGAGCGATCGTTTCGCTTGATAAGACCCTTATTCATCGTCTGGTGTCGTTTAAAGTCCTTTGAAGCTGCTCTGAAACTCTCATTTGGACCTTGAACCGTTTGGTTCCCATTGAAGTCCATTATATGGAGAAAATCCTGGAATGTTTTCATCAAAAACGTTGATTTCTTTTCGACTTCTTGACCATCTTGGATGACATGGGGGTGAGTAAATTATCAGCAAACATTTTTTCAAAAGTGAAAAAGAATTTCTATGGCCCTTAATCCTTGTGTATTAGCTTTGAAGCTATCTGTATGCTAGTGCATTCACAGACATTGACTTGAATTCACTTTTAGCAGAAATACACATTTCAATTTCAGTCTTACTATTCCAGGAAAACAGATCAAGAATATACTGATGACTCATCCTGCACTACACAAATGTCTTATCAAGCAGTTTCTAAAATTATAACACCCCAATACTATTTACAACTGACAGCAAGCAGCAAATTAAAGTTCATGGCTATGCAAATAGTTAGTATAGTTCTCGATTTTTAGGCCAGTTTTTCAGAACGCTTCACACAGTGAGCACAACAGCAGTTGCATTGATGCATGTGACACTCTTTGCTAGTGTTATGGAAGAATGATAGCTTTCGTGCATTTTGAGTGTGAAATTAACACCGGTGTCTGGTGAAAAAGTGTGGATGTTGTTCATTGGATAGAGGCAGATCTTGAGGTCGAATTTAAGAAAGGGGCGGGGTCATGTCTGTCTGTCATTTCACCAAAAATATTAAGACATTTAAAGATAAAACATACACGTGGATGAATCACTCAAAATAAGATTAATACGATGCATTCAGAAAACATCTTGCATTTACATTCCATGTTGACTTTAAAAATAAAGAACTGGCTCTCCGATATACATGTCCTGACCAAACTTCCTGTTTAAATTGGAAATACATCACCATACCTGGTTAATTTTAAAACAGCATACTGCTTTTACTATTTTTGACATCTTAAAATACCCATTAAACAGTTTCACGAATAGTAGCGTTCTATTGTACTTAAAACATAACGATTCATTATGTAACGTCTTTAAACACCACTGAAAACATAGTTATGTATATGATATTGCATTTCTGTTTACAGGTGTACTGGAATACTTTAAATTCTCATTTGTCAACTATGTTAACATGCAATCTTTTTTTTTAATAATGACTGGCAAAATATATTAACAAACTAGTTACTATATAATTCAAATATTTTCCTTCCTCTCATCTATGCCAGTTTCATGAGCACGCCACCATTAATAATATAATTCTCAAATCAATATTTCATATGCATTTAACTGATTTATGTGATAATCATTCATGGCATAGTGTACAATCAAAAGGTCATTATCAGTGGTGGAATGTAACGAAGTACAAATTAGAGCCTGACCGATAAAGGATTTTGAAGACCGATACAAATATTTTTGGGTTTTAAAATCCGATATTCCGATATATCGGCCGATATTTATTTATTTATTTTTTTAAACTGGACATGATTCAAGCAACGTATGTCTCGTGACCAACTCAACGAGTGTTGTCAACAGGAACGGTGTAGAGTGCCCTCTGGTGGACAAACTATACAACTCCAACACTCATGACATGGTTCAAGCGTGTTTCGTCTGTTTTTATTTTATTTTTGAAATATTCATTTATCGGCCATTATAACTGCCGATACCGATAGTTTGGAAAATGCCTAATATCGGCCGATAATATCGATCTGCCGATATATCGGTCTGGCTCTAGTACAAATACTTTGTTACTTTACTTAAGTACATTTTTCACGTATCTTTACTTCACTTAAGTAGAATAAATAGTGCATACTTTTTACTTTTACTTCGTTACATTTTGCAGCAATTATTATACTTTCTACTCCACTACATTTCTACAACTTCTGTTACTTTTTCATTACATGTTCTGATCAGTTTTTCGTAATCTGACCGTCCGTTCGTTGCACGTTTGTCTCACCAGTGACGTTTGGTTGCCATAGATATATCAACCCGGTCACACTAAATGCGTCTTGCACGCGCTGTGTTTATCGTGCAATTTATACGCGAAAATTTGTTTTTATGTGCATAGGAAACATGTGTAATATACGTTTGGTTAGGATTATGGCAAGCCAAGAGGTTCAGAATTACACCATAAATTAATCGCGTTTACTGCCAAACAGTTATTAACATATAGTAAGGATATGGCTTATATTGCCTAATTGTAAGCTTGTTTCAGAGATGGTGACAACAATTTTTTTCCATAATTATTGAACATCATTATAGGAGTATTAGGTTGAATGAGTTAGAATTAAATGTTTTATTAATCATTAGAAAAAATAGACATTAAGAGAATAAATTGTTATGCAAGTAGGCTACTTTTACTTTTAATACTTAAAGTACATTTAAAATCAGGTACTTTTTACTTAAGTATGGTTGTCATTGTGTTACTTCTACTTTTACTTAAGTAAATATTTATCTGGTTATTTGTACTTTTACTTAAGTACTGAGATTCAAACCTCTTCAGGATAGTACAAATGCCACGATCACCCTGTTGGGGGTTATTTTGCGATATTGACCGGCAGACTTACTGTATACAGTATCATGATTGGCATAAGAAAACTCACTCCAGCTGTTGCCCTTAGTGTGGTGGCCTGAGACGCGGCCTGGGGTGCTGGGACAAGAGCTACTGGTCACCTGGAACCTCTTCATACACTCCATTCCCACCACATCCTTACAGTGCTTATGACAGTTGACTCCACAGTCTGAAAGTAAGAGCAGGGTTATGATAAATGGTGCTGATGGTGTATATAATATTTAAATATAACATATTTTTGGATATTTAATTGTGAAAAAATGTGCATGGTAGTTTCCTCTATTTTCACATTTAGATCACCTTGAATGTCATTAAATAATTAATATGTAGTGTTTTGTTTTGGATTCATTGGATTTATTGGCCATTTGTCATTTATCGGCCATAACATGACATGAATTGTCATCATATAGGGGTTTGGGCAGAATTGTAACATTGATGAATCCCTAATCACTGTTATGCTCAGGTGTTGTGGGTGGTTGCCAAGACTTTACAGTTGCTATGTTCTTCTTAGATTCATTTTTAGGGCATTCGATATAGGGTTGCTATGATATTCTGTGTCCTCTGGCCAGTTGCAAAAACTGCTTAGACCAGTCTTAACAAGTTTCAAGACTGGTCAT